ATATCATTCGATGCGCCTTGACGAGTTGAACATAATGAGACCATCCGCGCGGCTGTATCTTGTTCCTGTACGGAGTTATTGGCAAAAAAAAACTTTGGTGACCTTTGATGATGTCACATGACCTTACAGCTGCCCAACAGCAAAACAGACCTCAAGGTTGTGAAGGTTGATCGTATATGAGGTCATGTACCTATGGTTTATGGGGCCATTCCGACCCGTTTTAGTGGTAAAAACAGGGAGTTGATGTTTCCTCTTTGACTTATAATGGGGAGGTCGAGAAATTGACCTGACCTTAGGTCATCGATATCAAAATTCCGAGATATCAAAATTGTAGCTACTAATGACCTTATAACATCCTGCGACTTTCAAAGGTCTCCGACATCTACTGTAGCTCTGGCACGGTGACAAAGTTGAAAAAGAGTGACTTGAGGTTGGGTCATTCAACGTGACCTGGTGACCTGACCTTAGAAGTTAGGAGGTTCAAACTTGCACACCATGTGTAAAATTAATGAGAGAATAGTCGTACTAAATTTCCTGGCGCTACGCGCCGCGGTTTTTCCGCTATCTACGAAAAACCTCAGTGGGACGGATATCCGCCCCCCCCCCCCGTCGGTGCGCGGGTTAAGCTTTGCTTGACCTGTGCAGTGTGCACTGAACTGATGCACTGTCTTGCTTGAAGATGGGCTTACGACCTCCCGGATGCCATTTTCTCCCCCCAAAATGTGTTCATACTTTCGGTTCGAGTTAGGCTACATAGAAGGCTGAAACTGATATAAATGGGAAAGGCAATGGGAAGTGTTGTTTTTATATTAAAATTGGTTACACATGTGTTTCGGGAATAATCCCTTGATCACACCATATAAAAGTAGCTATATCCAAATACAATCGAGGTCGAACGGGGTCGAAACAATCCTCGATTGTATTTGGATATAGCTACTTTTATATGGTGTGATCAAGGGATTATTCCCGAAACACATGTGTAACCAATTTTAACCCTAGAACGCCTAGGGGGGGGGTTGTATCAACCCCCCCTGAGGTTTTTTCGAAGTGCACGCTAAACGGCTTGTCGTAGCGGGCTGAAATTTTCAGTACCCTCTGAGGCAACCTTTGCGCATCTTTTGCCGAAAAAATTGATCGGGTCATGTCAGGTCACGGAGTTATGACGTCATAAGAGGTACAGCCTCCGGCCGACAGTTACCAAACGTGTGCGCCGAATCCCTAGGTTTTCTGCCGGTGATACCCACATTGTTTGATGGATCATGATGAAACTTCCCATGCATGTTGGGGCAAGCATTGGCTATCGTGTGGTGCAAGAAAATTGACCGGGTCAGGTCAGGTCACGGAGTTATGACGTCATAAGAGGTACAGCCTCCGGCCGGATTTTCACGAAGTGTGTACCGAGTCCCGAGGTTTTCTGCTGATGCTATCCACATTGTTGGAAGTTGGAAATACACTTTTCTGAGTCGTTACCTACAGTATTTATAGCGGAGCAGTGGTCAACAGCCGACGAATCGGGATAAACACCGGAGGGTGATGTGACACCATATCACTCATCAGCAATAGGCCTCTTACTTTTATAGGGTAAATACACCAAAAACACCATATATGATGCAGAATTGAGTGGGGAATACGTTGTTGAAGGTTTGAAGTTAATATCTCTCACCGTGTTGCCGCAATCGTTGCGCAAAGTTGAAAAAGTTTGATTTTTTCGGAAAATTTGACCTTTGACCGGTCATAAGTAGGTCAAATGTTGACCTAGGACCAAAAAATATACCACCAATCGCGAGATCTCGTTGAGAGCAATCCGTTGGTTTTTTCCGCTAAGCTCTACGACCTTCCTTTTCGAAACGCCGGGGGGGGGGGTCGTAACAACCCCCCCCTGGTCGTTCGTGTTATGAGAAATGGCCTGGTCGTGCGAGGGTTAATATAAAAACAACACGTTCCCATTGCCTTTCCCATTTATATCAATACGTCTATGTAATAATAATAAAGGCTGAAACTCCTCCTAGATCTTCTTGGAGAAGCATTCTGCGTCCCAGCACTGATTCTGGAGTATCAATGGCGCAACCTGATCAGCGTCTGGGACGCATACCTATTACCCCACATTACCGTGACCCTGGCCTTTTGCATAGGAATAAAGCGGGATGACACGAAGGCCTTTTCCGTCGCCCATATGGGACCGTTTTGGGGTTTGGACGGGTGTTTTATCTCGAACACGGACTAGGTAGTCCAGATGACCACATTGATGTCATCGGCCCTCCATTTTTTTTAGCCTCAAGCATAACGAAACAAATGTTTGGCCATTTTAAGACATTTCCGACTGTTTTGCGTCCTCCGTTAAGTTTAAGCCCAACTGACCGTGAGTTATATACCCCAAAATAATACTATTGGACAGCTGGTAATCCATCCTGAAAAGCCTGCTTACCAACTTTCTAACGCTAGGACCTTTTTGACGGCCACTTCAGCGTCACACAGTTTTGGCCACATGGCTCACTCCTGAGAGCTGACAAAAAAGAGCATAAACTTGCAGCGATTGACTACCGAAAAATCATCGGGGTCACATGCTGACTGTGCGTCCAGTTAGCGACAGACATTGGCTACGGACTGGATGGCCTCAGTCACCCTCAACCGTCGCGAATGGCCCACGTACGGACTAAATACCGAGACGTACCCGTATCGGAGACCTCTATGTTGCGGCCACAGGAATTGAACTCTCTAGCATTTTTTTTTTTCTAGACGAATTAGTTACCGTGGAGCATATTCACAGTTGCCATGGCAACCCCAAAAAACTCAGTTACCAAATAAATTAAGCGTGACTTTAAATAAGAGAGCCTCTAAAAGAAAAATTTAGGTGAGAAGGAACTTATGGGACACCCTGTACTTCCAAGTATCGCCACGCACTTTGAGAATGTGGATCGCTCATGATTGTTCAATACAGTACGATACAATACAAGTTCCAACTGACTTGTGACGACGCCTTCTATAGAGACGCCACACAAAAAAAAAATTGACTCATCATGTTTTTTCTATTTATGAGGGACACCAGTTGACCTGAGGTCTTAAAATTTGGTACCAATGGCCGCGTCTCGAACGGAGCACACGCTTGTTTTTCCGCGAGGCTCCAACTCCATTAGAGACGAAACGGCGATGGGGTCGTACCCCCCCCCCCCATCGGCCGGGGCATATGTATCTACAGCCCTCTGCAGACTGCGTGGTAGATATTCTTTTTTCGACAAAACCGATGATAACTCAAAAGGCTAAGTTATCATTCGGTCGGATCTCATTGCATATCCCTCGCCGGCCGAGGGGGGGGCGGGTGCCGCCCCCCCCATAGGGTTTTTTCGCGATAGCTCCGAACACGCTGGCGATAGAGAGCTGAAACTTGGCATACCTGACCTTTGATCCAAGCCGCATCTTTTGACACCAACCGCATTTTTGGGTCAGGTCAGGTCACTGACCTATGACGTCATAAGTGAACCTCTGCACGGTCTTCAGATGTCGCAACTTCGCAACGCCCTCACTGCCAGAGGAGATGTCACAGGGAAATGAAACTTGCAGGATCTAGTATCCATTATGAGTCCCACAACTTGTATATCTCGGATTTTTCCTAAAGGTCATATGAGGTCAGGTCATTTTCGTGACCTCACCATTATAAGTCAATGGGGAAAAATTCAAATTGCTATTCTGGCGCCGGGAACGATCTCCAACTATCTCAAGCACACAGAATCGTGATTTGATGCACTCCTTGCAAGGTTAGATGCGTCACTTTTACAATGTTGACCTTGCGTGACGTCATTTATGACGTCATCAAGGTCATATTAGTTTTTCGTCAATAACTCTTGATCAAATTGAGCTAGCGAGTCGGGAAAGCCACCAATGGACTCAGGAAGACCTGCCGAATCGAATGATATGCGATATGACCTCTTTCGACCAACTTCGTGACCTGGGGGTGCTGACCTGACCTTGACCTGAGGTCAACACCCCAAGTTGACCTGACCCGGACAAAAAGTATATCATTCGACGCACCTGAGCGAGACGAACACGATGCTGCCAAAATCGGCGCTCTGCGGCCGTTTTTTGCGAAATTATTCACCAAAAACTGAACCGTACCTTGGGGCACTTGACCTGACCTCAGAGGTCACCGGTTGACCTAGGACCTTAAAATCGGGTACCAATCTCTGCGTCTCGTAACGGCGCACACGCTCGTTTTTTCCGCGACGCGCTAGCTCCACCAGGGGCGAAACGGCGAGGGGGGGGGGTCGTACCCGCCCCCCCCTCGGCCGGCGCGTATGTAGAAAACCAATAGGTCCGGCGAGGGATATATATAGATGCACTATCCTCCACTCCTTCGATTGGTTCTTTTCTATCACTGTACAAAGTATACGCCTAGTGTAGCAACAAAATGCAAAAGCTTGTTTTGGGGGCAGATATAAACTTTTGTGTGTTGTTGCCAAACTAGATGGAAAATGTATACCACAATAGGCCCAATCTAAGGTGCGGAGTCTCGAGCGTCTTGCTGTTACGATGTCCGAGTGACCGTTAGCATAGAATTTGCGTTATTCTCGGTTTTGTCGAAAAAAAAAGAATGCCTACGACGCCGTTTGCAGAGGGCTGTACTAAGAAAACCAATAATTCCGAAATGCTTGGTCTACTCTGTAAAACAGCCGCAAGTGAAACGGGCCGTGGATGCTGTGATATAGGCCTCGAGGAAGCGTGACTTTGGCTGATATTGATAAATTTCTATGTTACGAGAGTTGGCTTTTCTCGCTTCGCTCGCTCGCTCGTAATAATCATGGTGCACACTTTCTTTGGCTAATGTGGTCTCTAGAAATCCATGCCGTCGTGTAATAACCGACATGAGCGAATGAACTGCTAGAGGTTTATAAGGCAGTTGTTTCCTGTTCAGCTGATGGCCTATCATGTCTGTCTTATGTGCTGTTATACCCGGTGACGACATGCCTGACGCCGTGGGCCATCGCCCTTTTCCTTTTTGGTAATAGCGCTGGCGTGGCACAAACCGGCACGATGATTCTGATCGACGCTCTGCATAAGATGGGCCGCTGCGAGCAGGCGGTGGACGTGTACCGGCAGCTGACGGTGGTGCGCCAGCAGCGGGCCAACCTGTGCGCCAGCCTGGCCCAGTACCAGCTGGTGCACCAGGTTCTCGTCGAGCTGCTCGTGTCGCCGTCGGCGTCAGTGCCGGCCGCCCAGCTGGCCGTCCGGCTGCCGCAGCTCAAATCGGTGGCAGACGGTCCGTCTCAGCTGGAGCAGCAGCTCAGCTTCCTGGCATCCAACCCGCCGCCGGCCTCGTACGCCAGTGCACGCGCCGAGAACCTCGAGGGCAAGAACCGCTCGCCGGAAATTCTGCCAGGTGAGCGGTCTGTCATGCGTTCGGTAATAAAGCGACACGTGTTCACAGCGAACACGTTATAATTCGCCGCTTTCCAAAAGTGCGATCGCATATTTCAAGTAGGTTGTCAAGCGCATTGTCGAACAAACACTCTGTACTTATGGTTTCATATTCTGACTCCCCCCTCCCCCCTCCAAAAAAAGATAATACCATCCTCTGACTGAACCCCAAATGCTGCCGGCAGAGGACAAGAGTCGCGTCTTCCTCCATAGCTGCGGTCTGCGCGACAACTACGTCAACGCTGTCTTTGTGCAAGGCTTCAAGAAGCCGGACGCGTTCATTGCCACGGAGGCGCCTCTGCCGAAGCGACGCCACGTCTTCTGGAACATGGTGGTGGAGAAGCAGTCGCAGACGGTGGTGGTCATGAACGATCTGGAGCCTGATGACGTGAGTGGCTACAAGAAGCCATGCATTACTGTCGACATGCCGAGTTTCACTAGGGGTGTAACCACCTACATTAGCGGACAGTGCGGAAAGTCCGCACCATTTTTTTTTTTACGGGCGCCGAAGGCGCCCCCCCCCCCTCCGTCCCCTTTTCAGTATCTATACATTTGCCGCAGGCGGCGCACCACCCCTCCTTTATGGGCGCCCGTTTTTTTTTTTTGCATATGGGCGCCACTCCTACACTATACGCCTCACAGGTTCCCCTCTTTCGAATGCATGCGCCCCCTTTTTGCATGCAGGCGCTCCTGAGTTTCACAGGCGCCCCGCTTTCAGGACACCTTCAGAAATCATGTGCCATGGTGTCCTCAGAGACCATCACTGGTTGGCCTTTAAAAGTCACCGGTTTGTGGCCGTCAGATGCGCAGGTGTGGGACCCTCAGCGATGCCGGTGTTGGGCCCTCAGAGCCGCCGATATAGGGCGTTAAAAGGCACTGGTGTGGGATCCTCCGGGGTGCCAGTGTGGGGCTATCACAGTCGCTGGTGAGGGCCCTTACAGGCGCCGTTGTGAGGGCGCTCAAACACTAGTTAAGGGCCATCACAGGCGTGTGTGTGGCCTTTAGAGCTGCTGTTGCAACATGCAAACCATTCATATGCCGACAAGGTCGGTGGTGCATTCAGGGGCTCTGTAGGGTCCTTAAGAGACCGGCATGGTACTCTGAGGCCCGCTGAGGCCTAGTGAGTCCCCAGCGTAGGGGCCTCAGAATTGCTGATGTAGGAAGCGCTGGTGTATGCCATTGCTCTCAGAGTTTTGTGTATAGGCCTTCAGAGACGCCGGTGAGGGCCCTCACAGTCACCGTTATGGGGCACTCAGAGAAACTGATGTGAGGTCACCACAGACGGGCGTGGGATCCTTAGAGCTACTGGTCCCTAATTGGTCGGCAAGGGTCCTCAGTGCCTGGTAAGAGACCCTGGCTCAGATCCTGGCAAGGGGCCTCCAGAGGCCGCCAAGGGCCCTCAGTAGCCGGCATGGAGCCCTTATGGAGATTAGCGTGGCTACTTAGGAGCCCATGAGGTGCTCTTGCGAGCCTTGTGGGGCCCTTCTAGTTTAAATATGGCCGGCGTGGACCCTCAGCAGTCAGCGGCGTCACATGTCACATGGGGTCCGGGGCCCTTGAAATTGATGGGGGAACGTCCCCTGGCCCCCTAGCTACTCCACTGCCCGCTTTCCTATGAAGGATTGAGGCGCCCCTCCTTCGCACCTCGTTTCCCTTATAGGCGATGGCTCCCCTGCGAAGGATGGCGCCCCCTGAAATGATGGGGCCCCTTATGAGCCTTAACCCTCGCATGTGTGCGGCGTTTGCCAGCTTCTAATGTGTAGGGGGGGGGGGGGTCGGTTGGACCCCCCCCCTTGCCGTTTGGCCCCTGATCGAGCTAGAGCTTCGCGGAAAAAACGAGCGTGTTGCCCGTGACGAGAGGAAGCCGATGATACCCAATTTTAAGGTCCTAGGTCATTGGTTGACCTTGCAGGTCAGGTCAATGACCCCAAAGGCGAGAAAATCGGGACCTGTTAGAAAGTCGTAATGTGTGGCTGCTAAGGGGTTTTTCGGGGTGCTGATCACGAATATCGTGTTAGTTTTGATCACAGATGATGTCTTGAAGCATTTAGACCAGGTCGGGTCAGGTCAGGTCAGGTCAACCAGTAGGCGTCGTGACGGGTATTCGTAGTACGTGTCAACCGCCTCTGACAGCTTCGTAACATGTTACGAAGTCACCAAAACTACTTCGTAAATGTTCAAATGGTTGCTAAATTCGAATTCAGCTCCAAAAACTAGCCTAGAAACATGTAAAACTCGAAAAAGTGACCCGAGGTCACCCGAGGTCACCAAAGGTCAATGACCTGACCTGACCTTCAGGTGACCTTGACACACACGGGAGTAACATCAAATCACATGTTTGAACGTTTGAAACCACGAAAAGCTTGCAAACACGCGGCTAGTGCGAGCCGACATACGCGAAATCGCGATTCCGGCCAAACATGGTCTCGGAAAAGAGGTCACAGGTCAAAGGTCATTTGGGTCAGGGTCATGAAATTTTCAGGGTAGGTGTCAAATTGATCAATGCGAGGGTACTGAAAGTTTCGTTGCGATCGGCCGCTTTTTACGCGAGTTATTCGCGAAAAACCATGGGGGGGGTCCATCCGACCCCCCCCCCCTACACATGCGAGGGTTAAGGCATCTTTTTTTTCTAGTGTGGTTACGCCCCTGAGTTTCACAACGTAACTGCTGCCTTGGTACGCGATGCTCTGAGCTTTTCAACGATTGACTTCATGAGCCAGCCGAGTCCCATCCGACTGATGTTATTGCAGATGAGCATCGTGGCGAGACGCGGATACTTTGCCGCGTAGAAATGTTTTGTAAGCAATGAGATTCGATACCTAGTACGGCTCTCGCGGGCTTATGCGGTAATTTTTGCATTTCTGACTGTAGGTATCTCAGCAACTAATCGATATATACGATGAAGCCATTTTAGAAGATCATGGCAGCTATATGTATGAATAAATCGATCGCATCTTCAACCCTAAAAACTTTAGACGAAGAAGATATAGCCGGAATTTTACTAAATTTCATTGGGGAAACCCTACCGCTAAAACCCGCGAGACCCGTACGTTTTCATTTCGCCTTGACACAATCATGTGCTGAAACTAACGGCGCTGGTCGGGGTTGTCAGGTATTTTGGCCGACCACGGAGGAGCCTATCACGTTCGGTACCGTTGTGATTCAGCTGAGGAGCCGAATTGTCGAGCCAGTGGAGACGCTCGACCTCACCCTGAACGTCTATGTCAACGGAAAGGTAGGTGCCAGACTTGATTAAAGTCTGTCCCCTGCCGGTAGTCAGGTAACGCCTTAGCCTCCAGGCATGGCAGTCGGGTCACTCGCCATACCTAAACCTGTGACAGGCTACGACCAACAGGCAATTCTGTGATTGTGGTCCTGTAGCTCACTCAGAATGACCCCGTGACTGTGATTGTGAGTTGTGACACTTTCAGACTGTCACTCTGCGTTACTGTGACTGTGGCCACAGATGGAGACCTCCCAGGAGGTGCGTCTGTTCCTTCTGCCGTTCGGTGACCCGGCCGGAAGTCTGCCCTCGGCTGAACAGCTGGTGGTCCTGCACTCCGCCTACGAGCGGTCTCTGCCACACAGCTACGGAGGCGTCACCACCGTGGTCTGTAGGTACGTACATACGGGCGCAGTTGCCAACACCGTCATTCTACCTGCAGAGTATTTTGTTGCGATTTGCTGTAACAGATATGACACAGTGCACTGTGTCACTGCAGTGATGCGCTGAACAGACTGGTGTGGAAATGAGTTTAGTACGTTTTGTGACGGCACAACTGGCGTAACCACTAACCAGTAAAGTGATAGAATTTGCGGTGGAAGAACAGGCGTAGCAGTGAGAAAGTTTTGCGGCGGCAGCTGGCATGACCAGTGTGATACTGAGCACGTTTAGTGACGGCATGACCGGTGTAGCATGGAGTACCGAGCACGTTTGGTAGTGTCAATACTTAGCCATTTTCACGACGTGCTCATTTCGAATGCACCTAATTTGACCAAATCTGCAGCAAATCTTTTTTTTTTAATGCTCTCGCCAGCAAGTATTCGTCGCCAACGTTGCCACGGATTCAAAGCAACGGAGCACGGAGCCACGGAGCAAATCTTTTTTACTGGAAATATCTTCATATCATGAATGATGAATTTATTTCATTGTTCTGATAAGAAATAACGTCTGATAATTTGAAAAAATCAGGCCCAGGCATAGGCCAGGGCCTCGTCTAATAATTTTCACTGGGGGGCAGAGACTGAAGGAGCCAAACCTAGGGTACCCCAAAAACCTGTTTTCTCACCGGTTTTAGGCCACTTGTTTTTCGTCACAGCCCTGACACCATGATTAAAAAAAAAAAAAAACAGGCAGTCCGAGCCATGCATTATACCCCGCGCCTCGCTAGGGGAAAGGGTCCCGGATTTTCGTGATCATCCAAAGTCCAAAACCGTTGCAGATATCGCCACGAAGATTGGGGTACCTTATCCTACATCAATTTGACAAGGACTGCGCAAGTTCCATCGAAATGCTTTTTTTTAAAGAAAATTACGTTTTTGTGACATTTTTTTTGACAAGCCATTTTTGTTTTCGGTCTAAGCCGTCTAAATGTTTATAAATTCACAAAAATTACATTTTTGAAGTAAACCCCTCGAAAAAAGCCACGAAGTGTGTATATTGAAGCGCGCTACAAAGCACCTATCTCGGATTTTCAACACTTTGAGTTTTTGACTCCAAAATTTTCGAAAGCTTCTTTTTTTTGGAAAAACCTATAAAAAAGTTTTTTTTTGCATTTTCGATAACCGGAATAATTGTTATAAAGACCAGTATTTGCTATCCTCATACCAATTTTTGATGCAATCCGTCAGTTTTTGGTCACAGAATGGCCGAAAAACCGCAAAAACTACACATGACAAAATTTTTTATTGGAAATTTTGAAAGTTCTACATCACCTACAACAATGAAAATACCACCGATCGATTCGCCATCAAAAACTAAATCAGAGAGACACCAATTATGTTTGAAAAGATCAATTTCAAAATTTGACCTAGTTTGACCTGACTTGACCTGACCTAGCCCTCGCCCGCACATGGGGGGCGAGGTGGTTGCCACCCCCCCAGGTAGTCTTTCTGCTCTGCACTCGAAATTTTTAAAGCTAGAAGGCTGATTTTTCGTATAGCTGCTCCTCTATCCTTTCTTGATGTCCACTGAAAATTTCAAGTTTCTGTAATTTTTGGTTTCGGAGAAATGACCTTGTTTTTCAGGTCATGTCATGACCCAAATGGCCAATTCTCAACATCTTGCGTTTGCTATGGGCCTTGTGAGCTTTTGCACCTTGATTTCGGCCTTTTTGCCAGTCTTACCTCCCACCTATCATGGAACATGTTGTTCGACGATGTACAGGTGTCAAGGTCAGGGTCAAGGTCAACCTAGGTCATCTAAGATAATTGCGTTTTAGGCAAGCTGAATTTACTTTTGTGAAGTTTTTTTTACTGCATTTTTGGTAGGTCACTATAAGGTCAAGTTATAGTTCATTCGATGCGTCTTGACGAGAAGAACACGATGCCGGTAAAAGTAAGCTCGTACAAGGCTTGGGTCAAAAGTTATTGCAGAAAAACTGTTTCCGAAAAAAATCGGCTATTTTTGCAGTTTTTGCCCTCTGCAGGCAAAACCGTTGACGTTAGGTCAAATCTGAGAAGATTACTCAGAAAGGGCGTTAATAGGGCTATCGAATGCGCTTTTCCGCGGCGCTGTAGCTCTATTGGTTCCCGAGTTATGCGTTGGCTTCTTGGAAATTGTCGACATTCGACCTGGAAATCGGCGAAATTTTGCCTTCAATGACCTGTGGTGACCTGACCTTTGACCTGACCAAAAATTGACCGAAGTGATTTCCTCATTATTTTTAACGCTCTTTCGAACGCCGCCTTCCGCGTATCGTGGCCCAGGAGCCGAGTTAGAAGGGGGGGGGGTGTTCAAACACCCCCCTCCCCCTCCAGCAGGGCGTGGAAATCCAGGACCCCCAGCCGGGCGCGGGTTAAAATTGAGTATCATCGGCTTGCTCTCTGTTCTGGTCCGGGCCTCGCCTGTCAGCCTCCCTTCTTACCGGCTCGATCCGGTACGGGCGGCCGTGCGCTGCGTCACCCCATCTGACATCATGGTGTGCTCACCTGTGATTGGTTGTGAGTAGGTGGCGTGACCTGATCACCCCACCTGCCGATGTATGTATGTCAGCTCTGATTGGTTTGCGAGTGGAGTGCGTGCCAATGTGTGTTGTGAAGCGGAATGTGAGGGCAGTTCTGTTTTGGTGTCCACGGTGGCAATGCAGCTTTACCAGCTACTCCAGCTTCTGAACCTCACATGGAGCAGCCGACATGTGCGGACCTGCCACAGTGAGCCGAAGCAGTACCAGAGGACCTGACTGGTAGATCAGCGACTGCATGGCGTACAACTTACGTTCCAGTTCCAAGATGGATAATACCAGCGAACAAGAAGAGGACAGCTCGGCACGACCATGGCTAGCTCAGCTTCAGCAACAGCTTCAACTGCAGCTACAGCAACAGCACGAGCATCATCAACGAGACATCGAACTCCTTCGCCAGGAGCTACAGGAGCACCGTTCTATGGCTATTGCAGCTGACCGGAAGCCAGCGCCAACAGCGGTGGAACCCGAGGTCATCACGCGGTCAGCTGAAGCCAACGGCGCTGTTGAGCTGCCGACTCCTGCCGTTTCGGGGCACTCAGTGGAGGCATCCAGGACACCAGCACCTGGCGAGGCTAGCAGCCAGACACCACCTTTATTACTACCAGGCCCTGCTGCCGCATCATCTCCTGTAGCATCTCCTGCAGCTTCAGCCTCTGCACTGCTCCGATCAGACAACATGGTCAGGCGACCACCGGTAGCACCTCCTGCAAAGCTATCATCTTCCGCCAGTCTTCGTGAGTTTCGTCTATGGAGGCCGTCCTGGGATGATAACTATCGCCTTGGAAGCATCTTCACGCTTGGTCAGGCAGACCAACTCGCCTACCTGAGAGGTTGTTTCACCGAGGACATGCGCGCCACCAGTCTGCACGCGGTCGGCATCTGCCTCCACCTGGACGATGTCAACTCGTCCCTGGACAAGATTGAACAGTATCTGCGTGTTCAGCACAATGTAGCCATCGAGCGTGTGAAGTTTGAAGAACGTCAGCAAGATGAAGGAGAATCTTTGGACTCATTATTGATTGCAATCAAGGAACTGGCAGCGGATGCTGAGCTGTGTCCCTCCTGTGTGGATGAACGAGTCACCACGCGGATCATGTCGGGAATCCGTGACAAAGACACACGCCGCAAGCTGCTGGCTCTTCGGCCTTTCCCGTCACTGCTAAACGCAATCGACATCTGCCGGTCTGAGGAGGCCTCCAGGGCCAACAACGAGATATTGCAAGACATCAGTCAGAGTCATCACAATATCAGCCGAGTGTCACGTCAAAGCCAGCGGAGCCCAGCACGGGAACAGCCGTGCGAGGGCTGTGGTCGCACAGGACACCTCAGGAGAGCCTGCCCAGCTGCATACCAGACCTGCTACTCCTGCGGCATCAAGGGCCACCTGGCGGTGGTGTGTCGCAGGCGTCAACAGGGTCACCAACCATTCTGAGGGCCAGCGCTCCCGTAGAAAGCAGCGCCACCCGCCCCAGGCCTCGATTCCGCAAGTGGTCGTCAGCAGCCTGCACAGAAGTTTCCACGCACCGAAGATCGATGTCCAGCTCCATCTTCCGTCTGGGACTTCTCTCGGTACTGTGAATGCCACGCCTGATTCCGGTGCCGAAATCACGGTGATGAGCGCCGAAACAGCTCGTCTTCTCGGAGTGACGACGGATACTCTGTCACCTCCACCCACTCATCCAGATCTCTGCTGCCAATGGCCAACCAATGTGCTTCATCGGCACTTTCGACAGCTTCATCAGCCTTCAAGACAAAACGGCCCGGGACACCGTGTACGTCTTTCCCGAGTCCCGTGGGATGCTCTTGGCCTGGTATACCGCTAAGGCATTGGGTATTCTTCCTGCCCACTACCCTGAGCCGGCGAAGCAGCCGTCTGGCATTCACAGAGTCGCAGCATCCCCAACAGATGGAGCAAACAGTTCGCCATCGGCAGCTTCGAAGTCCAAGAACATGCTGCGCAGTACACTGCGGCAAGATTTGATCCAGGAATACCGCGATGTCTTCACGGATGACAGCGAGGGCTCACTCCAACCGATGTCTGGTGAACCCATGGTCATCCGTGTCACAGAGGATGCAGAGCCGTTTGCGGTCCGCTCAGCTCGCCCAGTCCCCTTCGCCTGGAGGGACGAGGTCAAAGCACAGCTGGACCAAATGGTCCTACAGGGCATCATCGCACCACTCGGTGCAGAGCCTGCTGACTGGTGTCATCCCCTCGTACTGGTTGCAAAGGCATCTGGTGTCCGCATCTGCATCGACCTTACCAAGTTGAACAAGATCGTCAAGCGGCCACTCCATCCACTCGTCACGCCTCGAGAAGCCGTCTCACAAGTGCCCACTGAAGCGAAGTTCTCGATTCTAGATGCGACGTCTGGCTACTGGCAACTACCACTGCACCCGGACAGCCAGCACCTGACCACCTTGATGACTCCCTGG